GAAGTGATCATCTCCTCCACATTAAAACCAGTTTCAGCACATAAACAAATAAACATGACAAAAGAAAGAGTACAACTTTACAATCCGTATTCTGTCTCATGTAATCGCTCAATCAGTGTTTCCTCCGCGTAAGGACGTCAATAGGCCTATAACGTCTTGTAAACAATGTCACGTAACGTCACATTTATCTCAGAAAAACATATTCGGTGACCATAAACTCATTAGTCGGATAGAAAAATAAACTGTAGAGAGGGGCATTTTGCTGAATGTATGCACCATATAACATATTCTTTATAAATTTGACAGTTCTTCAATGTTTAATTTATGTTTGAATAAATCCATCAAGTTTTTATGACAGCCACCATTATGTTTATATTTGTATTATAGTAATGTAGTAGCCTACCAACCGACTCTCATGTATATTTTACAGCATTAGTTGAGAGATTTTTTTTCCTTGAGAGAATTTGGCATGTACTGTACCTGATATATATCCAAAATAATCAATATTGAATCGAATTGGTTATCGAATGGAATCGCAAGCTTGTGAATGAGAATCGAATCGTGAAATTTGTGTCAAAAGTTAAAACCCAGCCCTAGCTTAAATAGTGCATATAATCACCTCCATAATGACAGTTTGGCTGCACATAAGTTCACATTATATATTTATGTCTTGAGTTATAAGAAATCATTTGAGAATCTGCCTGCGCGTTTATTTTTGTTTCGTTTTTCCTACATATCAAGTAGCTTATGTTCAGATCATATCTAACTCAATGTTAAGAATGCCATGCTTTCAAGTAGCTATGCTTTTGTTTTTATCTTTGTGCACATGAACACTCTATGCGTGTGAAGTAAATGCATGCATTTCATGTGCTGCTGAAATCCAATTAGAGGCAGTGGAATTCTGCCATTGAAATCAATTTAGCGCTAATGTTATTGAATGATGTGGTGTGTAGAGCTGCAGTAGAGGGTTTATTTGTATTTATATGAGATGACTGTGCCTGTTCTTTTTCCCCTCCTGTGCGTGAATACAGATGTATTGTTTGGAGGCAATTGAGGTCAAGCATTATGTGCATGGTGGGATTTTTGTTGTGTATCTTGATTACGTTGCCCTCGGGGAGAGAAGCCCTTTATAAGCAATGAGCGCAAATTTATTTCTGAGCACTAACCAACTCTTCATTTGTATGAAGAGCTATGCGTATCATTCAGGGGCCACCGATTGGAGCCTTTCAATTGGCACTTAAATGAAAACTTGCAATGTTTATGAATAACCCATCTGCAAATTGATGGTCTGCCAAAATGATTAATAGGCTAGGGATTGATTGCCTGTTGCATAAAACAATTAGTCTGGCATTACTCTCAACAGGTTTCTCACCAGAACAGACACTCAATATTTATCAACACGGCACAGCAGGAGCTCAGCCTGAGTGGCTCTCTTGAGATGGTACAGAGAACATACCCACTAGATGTAGTTTTATTCCGTCTTCTAATGCCCCATCTGCATCTAATATACAACATCCCCCAACAGAACGCTCCGTCTCTTGCTGACAAGCCTTTTGGGAGAGAATTGAGCCGAATTGCTTGCTTGTTTACTCAAGTTCTACCGGTTCCTCTTCTCCGGAGACTGGTGTGTTTTTGTGAGCGTCTAATGCTGAATCTAAGGACTCGGGCTTGAATGGGCTTACGCAACCCATGCAGAGATTTAGACACAACTGTTTGGAGATGTGAGGGTGTGGTGGCAGACTTTCCCGTCAGATTCCATGTAACCTTTTTCTGATCTCCACTACACGAGTCCTGCATGCCATAGGCTTTCTTGGGAGGAAAGATACAGTCTTATCTCTCGAGCTAGTCGCTGAGCCTGTTCGGTTTCCTCTAATCTTCTTTTGGCATCAGCACCGTGCGTTGCCCTCGTTCAGAGGGCACTGGCTACACCTCTCGCAGTTGTATAACATCCCATTGCCAATATTTACACAGGCTCAGCATTGTGTATCACAGCGCTCGGTGATACGGCAAGGCAGTGTGTGTGTGGGGTGACGTGCACACATCCTGCTGGTCATCCTTTATCCTTCATCAGTAGTACCAGATTTATTGCATGTATGTGTGTTTGATAAATGTCTGTTGTTTTGGCTGCTGCCTTTTAGAAGGCTTTTACACAAGAATGTAATCTTTACAGTAGTCAAATGCAGCACGCCTCCTAAATTCAAAGGAGACATTTGATTTCCTGTTGTTTGTGGTATCACGTCTCATGGATTCTGCATCCAGATTTGCATCTGATCTCCAGAGATCTTGGATGCCTGAACACTCTACACTGATCAGTGCTAGTATGTCACAATGACAACATATATGCCTATTGATTATATTATGCTTACCAAGGCTGCATTTATTTGATCAAAAATACAGTAAAAAAAAAACAGTAATGTTATGAAATATTATTGCAATTTGAAATAACTGTTTTCTATTTACATTTACATTTAGTCATTTTGCAGACGCTTTTATCCAAAGCGACTTACAATTTGGGGACACATAAAGCGATTCTTCTTAAAGAGGCAAACAGATACACAAGTATTACGCAAAACACTCACGTGCAGCCATCTGTCTTTTTTAGATATGTTTGTGTAATTTATTCCTGTGATGGCAAAGCTGAATTTTTAGCAGTAATTACTCTAGTCTTCAGTGTCACATGATCCTTCAGAAATCATAACAAACTGATTTGGTGCTCAAGAAACATTTCTTATCAATGTTAAAAAAAAAGTTGTGCTGCTTAATATTTTTGTGTAAACTATGGCCTTTTTTCCCAAGAGGTTCAAAATAACATAATTTATTCTAAATAGAATTGCTTTTGTAAGTTTCTTCATGTCACTTTTGATCAGTTATATATCCTTGCTGATTGGAGGTGTTAATTTACTGTAAAATCCTACTGACTTTAAACTTTTGAATAGTCTAAGTTAAGTAGTCTTTCTATATGAAGACTTGTGTGAGGTTTAAATTTATTTTCTTTTTCTTTTTTTTAGATTGATTGATTGATTGATTGATTTGGTCTTAATATATATATATATATATATATTAGGGGTGCAACAGTTCAACTTACTCACGGTTCGGTTTGTATCACGGTTTTAGAGTCATGGGGTTGGTACGGTTCGGTATGTGTTATGTTTAGGGAAAAAAATATATTGTCAAATAAAAATAAAGAAAATAAGAACACATAATCTAACTACAAGCAACAGCACAAATAAATACAATAGAGCAAAGATACAAATAAAATAAACAGTGCTTTTCAGGTTTTTTTAGGTAGGTCTAACATTAGTTTTTAGGTACAGATATTGAATAAAGTAATCAAATGTAAAATAACATTGCATATTTGACTGTATACATTAAAGATTAGTCCTTATTAAAGTTACAAAAGTTATTCAATCAAGAGCAGCGAGTGATTTCCGTGTTGTTGCTGTTTGATTAACATTAAGAAAGTGCTGTCACTTTAAGAGAACGCACTGATCCAGTGCACTGATACTGTATGTTCAGCCGACTATGTCTGCTAGGATACTCATCAAGAGGGGCATTTTGACATAATTTTTGTGTGAATTTGTCCATTCAAGCACAATACTTCACAGAGAGCTTAATATTTGCACGCGTTCTGAGACGCGGGTTCACGCGTTTCGAAAGAGCGCACACACAGATCTTCTCACTGCGCGCGCGAGTTTGCGTCTTCTGGCTCCTTAATATTTAAACTGGCCAGGCTTAAATTAGTTTAGTTTAAACACAGATAGCAACGTATGCTGCTCAGGTCTCACCTGTGTTATCAACACGTGATGACGGCATAAATCACAGTTATTCCATCATGCAGCACTCGCATTGAACAAAGAGTGACTGGGTTGTCCACATTGTTTTTTTTTTTTCTCTCATCGCTCTTGTTGTAATGTATTGGGAAGCCAACCAACCACTAATAGGTTGCATTGCAATGCAAAATTCACAGAGCTGATCATTTAGATCAGCAGCCATCCTCAGTCAGACAGCACTCAATTCCATTTGAGTCTGTACTACCAATACTGTATGGAAGCATATAGGTAGCGAAATTCAATTTAAAAATGCAATATGCAAAATGGCAACGCAATATTCAAAATGGCAATGTATTTCTGTATTTACAAATTTGCATGCAATTTACATATTAAGACTACTGTTGGAAATGGCAAATATAAATTATATCATTTAATTTTCATTTTCCTTTTGCACCAAACTTTGCACGTATGGGTAATGGAAAATGTAAATTTAAATACAGAAATACAATGCCATTTTGAATATTGCGTTGCCATTTTGAATATTGCATTGCCATTTTGCATATTGCATTTTAAATTGAATTTCGCTACCTATATGCTTCCATAATACTGTAGAAAGTCTAGTTGCGTTCTTTCTTACTAGAATCTTTTTTTTTCATTTTGTTACTTGGTACTAAAGTATCGGTACGCCTAACATCCCTATAATGTGCATTTTCGTTTAATGGAGTGATTTGAGATTGCTTTGACTCATGTTGGTACCCTTCCTCTGCCAGGAACTGCTTTATATCTGGCACCACGTATCTGTCCTCTATAATCACATGCTTAATAACTGGCTGGCTCCCTGGGTTTGTAACCACCTGTCTATTTTGACACCCGATATTCAAACAAAGCTAATCAAAACACATGCCAAATCTTTTATCTTCCAATCTGTACTCATTGTCTATGCCACTCATGTGCCTTGTTTAATAATAGTCATACTGTGTTTTAAATCTTGGTGTGTGTGCGTGTACATATGATTTAAGGCACTGCACTCATTCAGCTGTTGGGGGTTTAGTTGGAGTACATCTTTAGTGTTTAGTTTTGTAAAACGTAGACTTTTTTTAAAAGAGGAATTTAAAGAAATGTTGACACTTTGTTGCCAGTTATATTCAAATTAAGGTTTACATCAATTAAAAGCATGCTCTTTTTTTTTTTTCTTTCTTTCTTTCTCTCTCTCTCTCTCTCTCTCTCTAGCCACGTGCTGATCCCATACCCATATGCAGCTTCTGTTTAGGCACAAAGGAGTCCAATCGAGAAAAGAGGCCAGAGGAGCTGCTGTCCTGTGCTGATTGTGGGAGTAGTGGTAAGAACCATGTTTGAACTCTTAGACTGAGTGGTGCCTATATATGGACAGTACATCATCTGAACGTCTGTGCCAACTGGCCAAAGCAAGTTATCACATAACTAGGAATGTTATTGGTTGAAGTGTGAATCAAACTTTGTAACTAACCATTTAGCTATAACCAAACCAGCAATTTCTGTTTGGATAGCTGCTCATAATTGTCAGTTGTGTTGAAATTTTAGATTTTTTTTTCAGTAGTATAGTTACCGTATTTCAATCATCGGCAGTGTCAGTTGATAGCATGATCATGTGATTGAGTCAAATCCAGAAGAAAGTTTGTCAGAGATAGTGATGCACCTAAATGAAAATTCTTGGCCACAAGAGAAACTGTACATTCTGGACAATTCGAATGAAAACCAAAACTTTTGCAACTTGTTTGTAACAACTGTCGATTCTGTATCATGGGCACTAACTTCCTTCAATTTGTGTCTTCTTTCAATAACACAAAGGCTACTTTTTAAAATATTGTTTAAATAACTGTTCAAAACAGAGCTTCTACTTTTTTAGACTATTTTCTGTGTGTAAAAGGGATCACAATTCCCTCAATATTACTTTTTTTTTTAATTAATTTTAATTTTTTAATTGAATTTAATTCATTAATTTTTGAAGGTACATATGTACCCTAGAGTATATTACATTAGGTGTTGGTTAGTCCATATGAGTGCATGAGGCAGATAAGTGCATGTGTGCAGTCTTTTTAAAAACAGGAAATGCTCTTATTAATCAGCCAGGATCCAAAAGGAAAATGCAAACTCAAAATATGCATTCTATTTTTAAGTATTTGAATTGCCACACATTGTGCATGCACAATTAGGAAAAACAAATCTGAACTCAATTTGCAATGGAGTTTGAATTTTGACCGCAATATGCTTTCACTGTCTTGTATAAGATTGATGCGCAGCAGTGTTTTCTGTCCATCTGAATTTCTCTGCATGCCTCTCATCATCTCGCATCAGAGCAGTTGTGTGTGTGTCTTATCAACTATAAACACACTTTCTGACAAGACATCATCTTCATTAACCAGTGTTTGCATTAAATATGTTTACCTGGATAATTTTACATGCAGACTGCTTTTTTTCCATGTCTAAATTTCTGTTCAATCTGCTTAATTTGCGGTTTATGTTTTCTGCCCAGATTCAGTCAGTTTTTTGGGGGGGGGGCCCTAAAACACCATTTTCAGTTAATCAAATTTTGGTGCATCACATGTCAGAGTGCAATGAGAATGATGTATAAATCTTTGAAACAGCCCAGGAAATGATGATGAGATGGGGAGAAAGATGGTAGCTTATATGCAAGTGTTTTCTTGTTTGGGATAATTTGTGTAGGGCTTTATGTTTAAGAAATGTGGTAAAAGATCTTCAGGAAGGATGCTTGAAGCCTGGAGAAGGCAGATTTATATATTTTTTAACTATAAAAATTGTCTGTTCTGTAGAAGTATTGGCAGAAGGGTTTTACACAATCACAGATGGATTCAAGCTGAAAGGTGTGCAGTTTATAAGATGTTTTTTTTCCCCCGCTTCAAGTTCGCTTGCTTGTTTCTTTTACTCTAATTTATTTATTTTTTCCCTCCTCCAGACAGAATTGCCATGTTCCTGTTAAATTACCTGCTCTTATGTCGTAATTTGTTTTGAACAGTGATTTTGAAATGCCACAAGGAATTGTTCTCCCGGTGACATTTTTATGGCTGAGTTTGACTTAACAACGCAGAGGTGGTTTTCATTAAGTGTTCATGAAAGTATAGAAAATGTGCTCCCACTGTAAACCGCAGCTGGTTTGCAGCCCTCAGGGATAGGAGTGCATGCTTTTACATGACTATAACGGATCGACTGCCATTACGGTGTACGCGTGCACCATTTCTGCCTCGTTAAGATCAAATTATCCTTAATTAGCCGCTCATAAGTGTTTGATAATACAGTGCTTTTAGACACCAATTTTGGAAAGTCTTCACGCATGGTTTTTCGCATTGTTGATGCCACGTGTAAATATTTAACTGATCCACGGTCGGGGGAATCTTTCATTTGTTTCGTTTTGATGTTCTCTCTCCGCTTGATTAAGTCTCTGTTAACATTTATCCTGTAATGTTTCAGCAAGGGCTTTTGTGTTTCCTGCCAAAGTTAAAGGATTAGGTAATGTCGCTATTTTAATTGAGCATGTTTGGAGACTCTCTCTCTCTAAAGCCTGTTTGTTTTATTCTACATTTCTCCTCAAAGGCCATCCATCATGCCTGAAGTTCTCCGCTGATTTGACTGCAAATGTCAAGGCCCTGCGATGGCAATGCATCGAATGCAAAACATGCAGTTCCTGTCAGATTCAGGGGAAGAATGCTGTAAGTTCTTTTCAAATGCACTGATGGCCTTGGCCCAGTTCCTG